TCATTTTATAAATTTATCAAAAAAATTTCAAATTTCAATTTTAAAACTTTTCAAGCCTTGGGCCAATTAGATTTTTGGGCCTCGAGGGCCTATGGGTTGTAATGCCCAAACCCCCGCTTGGTTCCCTCATGTGCGCCTGCCCATGGCTAGTTGCCTAGTACATGAGCGCCTAGCCTACACGCTTGGCTTGTGGACCTCGCTCATGGGCCTAACTCGTCACGTGCTAAATACGCAATTGACTTGGCTTGTCATGCGCCAAATGCATAAGCAACCGTGGTCGTTGTGCACCTAACGCATGACTAGTTAGGGGTGTTCGTACGCACGAGTGTCAACATCCAACATCGACCTCGTGTGCCTCCATTGGTTTTTAATCCAAATTTCAATTTTAAATTCATATAAAATACCAAAAACATAATATTTATATTCGGGAACAAATAATTCACGTAGTTAATCATAATTAACAAAACATATAATCAAAGATTCAACGGAGGCTCGATACCACTTGAAGAATCATGTATCTTATAGAGATGTAGAATAAAACCAAATTGTTTCTTCATCTAAAGGGCCTAAGATCATGTCGTTGCAATGAATAGAGAATTAACTTTTGTAACACAAATTTAAACCTTTGAAGAAAAGAACCGTCTAAGTGTTCGGCCTCTATCGATAATCCACGTAGTCCAAGCACCCACAAAAGAAGTATCGAAAATTGGTAGAGTGCTAGCTCTACCTTTTTTGATTTGTTTAGTATTTTTTTTTTATAGAAATCTAATCGGGATAATTTTTTGTGACAACCCAAAAAGAGAAGAAAAAAAAGTGTCGTGCTAAGGTTAGAGAGAAAACAAATTTCTCCTTCTTTTTATTTTGAGCCGCATGCCTTTTTTATTTTTATGTGTGCCAAATTTTCTCTCTCTAAAATTACTTATGTTTGTTGCACCTCTCTCCCATAAATATAGGGGAGAGGCTTTCTTGTCCTTGAAGGATAAGGAGGGGTGGCAATGAATCCCTAAAGAACTTTAGGTATTTGCTTCCTAATCCTTTAAGGATTACGAGTTATTTTACATGTGGGTTTTTGATCTTTATTTTTAAAATATTCATCCTTATCCAATAAGATTCATGTTTATCCTTTCATAAAAATATCTTTCGGGCGTTTAATTAAACGTATTAGCCCAAAACCATTAGGCCCAATTAATGAATTAGGACTAACCAAGTAAATTAAGTTAGATAATTTTAGGAGGCCCACATTATGAAACAATTTCCTAAATTATCCTTAAACCTAAATTAGGAAACTAATTTCCATTTTAGGTTATTTACTTCTAAATTTGGAACTAACTTCCAATTTGAAAAACTAATTTCTTAAATAGGAAACTTTCCATTTTCGAAAACTTTTTTCAAAATTGAAAAATTTCATAATTGGAAACTTTTTTCAACATCTTTGCTTCTCTTTAATCATATGAATGCTTAAACTTATGCGTGTGACTCAATAAGCTCATAGATATGTTGGCAATGTATCAAAAATAAAATACGAGTTCTTTTATATCTTGATATATAAGTCAAGATTGACCTCTAATAAGGCATCATGACTATCTAATTCTCTAGGAGGATTAATTAATTTGTAATTACGTTTCACAAGCATGGTTACCATATGATTCATTCCTCATGTCAACTTATCATAGTGTGATCTTGAACTTGGTTATTAGTCTTGTTCGATCACGATCACATAAGTTTTCTTCGATCCCAAATATATTAGCTCTTAGAGTAAATTAACTATGCTCTATTGGTGTACTCCTACCATGGTCATAGATTTCTTGAGTAGACATTCATCAAAGTGTAATGTGATAACTTCTTTAGTGTAAAAAGAATAACATGTCCTATCTCGATCATTAACCTACCTTCATTAGATTCCCGAGTGTACCTAACAAATCGCCCATATGTAACCCTTGACTAGGTCCATCAAAACTAGAGTCAAAGTACATAAATCCTCTAATGAGATGATCATGATGATTTCAAGTCTAAGGACTAATTGTATCTATCTCGTATGAGATTCCCATAGACTAAACCAAATGGGTTCTCATGGTGAGTCAAGTCTAGTGACATGTTCTTTTACATCGGTCACCTAAGTACTTGTTTTAGTATCACCATACCAATAGGTATGAGATCTCTTCTTGCTATCTTATAGTATGAGCATAGCTCTCACAAGTCATACTATATATAGTCAATGTCCATTCTTAACTATGCTACGTCTTTGGACATTTAACGATATCATTTATGTGCATTAGTGTTTACCTAACTTCTTTCGCCCAATCACTAATACAAATACGTATCGTATGAACTTCTCTCTAATTTTTTTAATGAATAAATGTAAATGACAAGATTAATAGAAAGAATTTTTTTATTATAAATAACATAAATAATGCAATAATATAATAAGTGTTACCTATACAAACAAGGTTAGATTTTAGGCACCTACACTAATAAAGCCTACATATTGTGTGTTCTTGATCTTTTTGACAAACCCCATAGGTTGTTCTATGTAAATTTCTTTCTTAAGTTCTCCATTTAGAAAATAAATCTTTACATCTATTTGATGTAATTCCAAGTCCACACTAGCTAGAATGAGGCAAATGGAGGCAAATTTCATAATAGGTGAAAAGGTTTCCTTGTAATCAATACCTTTCTACTATGTATACCTTTTGGCCTTAAGCCAAGCTTTGTACTTGTTCAATGGTACCATCATTCTTGTGCTTGATTTTGAGCATCCTCTTATTCCTAATAGCCTTTTTTTCTTATAGAAAGATCAACCAATTTCCAAACATTGTTTAATCTTATGGACTCTATTTCTTTTTTCATTACCTTAAGCTAATATTCCTTGTTTAGAGATAACAAGACTTCATTAAAATTACTAGGTTCATCGTCTTGTATTAGGGTAATCAAGAAGCTTCTCCCTTTACATCATCAAAATGACATCGAGAAATGATTCCATGAGTACTTTTCCTTAAATGAGAATCTTGAGAAAGAAACTCATTGACTTTTAAATTGCTTATATTCGGATTACATGGCCTTAGCATAACTAAAGATGTGCTATCCAATGATGGAATTGGGCCATAATAATTTAAAATATTAAAAAGAGACAATTCCCCATTGTTTCTCTTTTGCTAGGAAACTATTTTGTAAGGAAGACACCATTCGTAGATTCAAATTCAATGTACTCTCCATCTTTATGTTGTTTAATGAACACATAACCTTTTAAATGGTCCGAGTAATGAATGAAAGTATATTTCTTACCCCTTAGGCCTAATTTGCCATGCTTATAAGATGAGTTATGCATAAAAACTACACATCCTCATTACTTCATGTTACTCAAGTTGGGCTTTTGGCCTATCCACAACTCATATAGGGTGGAGAGATTTGGTGGGCTCATGATTCAAAATATAGGCAACGAGTTAAAAGATCATAACCTAAAAAAAGGGCAAATTAGCTTCGACCATCATAGACCTAACCATATCAAAAAGAAATCCATCTCTTATTTTAGCTACACCATTTTGTTGTGGTGTGTTAGGAATAGTCAATTTTTTTGATATCCTTTTTTTTATCATATAAATGCATGAATTGATTAGATAAATATTCACATCCATGATCAGTTCTAAAAAAACTTGATTATTTGGTTTAATTGATTCCCGATAAGGTTCCAAAATCTTGTAAAACAATTCAACGCATCAGATTTATGAGCTATTAAATACATATGAACAAAACGAGTGTTATCATTAATAAATGTGATGAAATAATTTATCTTGCCCTTACATTCATTAAGCCATAAATGTCCGAATGTATTAGTTGCAATGGAATTTTTGCTCTAGTTCCTTTACTAAATGATTTTCTAGTCATCTTTGTAGCTAGACAATGTTTATAAACATTGAGCTCTACTTTATCAAATGAGCCTAAAAAACCTTCTTTATCTAATTAACCTTTTTTTGATCAATATGGCCCAAACATGCATGTCGTAAATGTGCATCGGTAAAGGTGGATGCATTATAAGAATAAACAATATCATTCTTAAAATTATTATCAATAATAACATCTAAAACCATAAAATTATTTGTAAAAAAACCAGAATCATAAAAAACATTGTCCAAAAATAATTGACAACCGAGTGCCATGAAAATTCAAAGTAAATCCTAAGCCCATCAAAATAAGAACTAAAACCAAATTTGGCTATAGTCTAGGAGCATAAAAGACATCATGCAAAAGAAAGGTTTGACGATCATGTAACTATAGTTTACACATGCCAATCTCCTTGAACTCTATTTTACTATTATTGGCAACAAATACCCACTTTATTCCTTGCGAAATGCCATAAAATTCCACAAATGCCCCTATTTCATTAGGCTATGTGGTCTGTGGCCCCCGAGTCTACAATCCACAAAGGATTAGATTCAATTAGTAAAATAGAATTGGAAACATTTATAGCACACTCATGTGTGCAAATGGTTTGTAGCATCTTAGGTTCAATGCATTCATTACTAAAATGACTCTTCTTACCACAGTTATAACATTTCATCTTTGCCTTGTCCTTTTTAATAAGACCTTTGGGTTATTCGGTCTTTGGCTTCTTGCTTGCCTTCTTCCCTTTCTTATGATACTATGGTTTATACTTACATTTAAAGCCCGAAGTTTTTTTTAGCATTAAAGGCAACTATGTATGCCTTTGCATTAGTCTTATTCACCTCTAAACGATCTGGAAACGGTGCACAACATCATTAAAATTCTTGATGCCCATGTTACGGGGCAAATGCACCTTTATATGCTTATAATTGTGGGGAAGAGAGCGTATGAAAACTTAGACCTCGCTACTCATCTATCAATTTATGACTACCTTCCTTGAGCTCACTCTCCATATATTCGATCGAATCCCATATGTTCTTAGCAAGTTCTATATTTTTGAAGAGTCGCACTGTGTCATCAACCATCGCATTTAGCAATTTTATGCAAGCAAGTTTATTCTTTTACTTCCCGGCATTCAAAACCTCATGATCCCTTCTTTGTTGGGCAATTTGGCCTTCTTCAAACTCTTTCATGATATTTGTCAAGGTCTCCAAGCACTTCTTGCTCTTTAAGGACATATTGAATTTTAATGCTCCAAACATCATAATTGTTGTCATTAAGTTTTAGATTCTTATTAAGCTCATCAAAAATATTTCTAATTGTTGTTATGTCAAGAGATAATAGGGCTTTTTTTAGCTACGATACCAATGTCGAGTATACGATTGTGCGAAATCGGTTTGACAAGTAGATCGATTGGTACACTTGGATGTATGGTGTAATCACATATGAACTGCACTAAAGATCTCCAAAGCTCATTGGACTATCCTAATATGGTTTAGAAGTTTTTAGAGACGAGAGGGGAGAAGTTCAACACATGAATAGAGAGTTTAGGTTTTTGTTCTATAACTTAGATTGTACGTACAAGAGATATATTTATAGAAGATATCTCCTTATCCGATAGAGAGTTTGAACTCTCTATAGATTACGTATATACGATTTAAATATTAAATTTGAGTTTATCAATGGATTACTCATATGTTTCGGAAATATATATAAGATTTTATTAGTAGACTCGATTTAGAATGGTCCATCATGGATAGACCGAATTAGGCTAACTAAGGCCCATATTCCAACAATTAGGATAGTGAACCATATGAATAGACATGCAAGAGATTTTTTTTTAAGCTGGTAAAGGAAATTTCATTAAGTTGAATAAGAAGTTACATACGAAAGAACAATACCATATAACTCACGAGGAACATCCTCCATGATTACTTGCTCATTTTCCTCATGCTTAGCTAGTTGAGCTATACTATGTGTAGCTTATTACTGTTTCTTGGAATCCACCAAAACTAAAAGAAGTAAAATGCTTGCTAATGTCTCGAATGTCATCCGTTATGGAATTAAGGTATGACGGATCCCGAGAGTTCTTCGTTAAAGTTTTGCACAATGTTCGGCAATCGGTTTCAACTTCTATTTATTGAAGTTGGAGAGTTTAAGCAAGTTGGAGGCCATTAAAGACAAGCTGCAACTTATGTTTCTTCCACAATTGTTGATGCCATTCTCTTATGGGTTAATCATCAAAAAATAATGCATCGAGTTGAGCTTGTAAAAACCTTGCGTAGGAGGCATCCAATGAGTATTACTTACCATGTTAACCACCCCTCATCCCCTAACATCCGACCTTGATAAGAATTCAGCATACCAACACTAGACCGCATTGAGTGTACTTGGATGAATAGCTACACCTTTAAACTAGTGTTTATTCCGTGACTTCCATATTGTCTAAGCCACCATCCCAGTCGATTCAATAACACCCTTGTCCTTGTCAAGCGACTTCATAAACCATGCTTGACAAATTTTCAATAATGTTTTCCTCAATCCGAACTCCCAAAGGACTCGAGAACCGGAAGGTTTTAGCATGAAGGCAATCTCTCAAGCAATGTTCTAAAATTTCGGGGAGAGAATCACATAAGCCACGAGTTGCATCCAGCAGAATTCCCCATATGAGGAGGTTTGTGCGAGAAAGGCAAGCTATTTTTCGGGACTCTCTATAGAAAATATCTGATTTTTAGAGGAATATTCATGAGTCAAATGCTATCCCACTTGATATCGGACACATTCCTATGGTCGGTTTCGAGCTTTCATCACCATTTCCATATTGTCTTATCATCATATGATAAGCACTCTCTCTTGACGAGACTCCATTCCTTATATGATGCCAAACTAACATATCGACTTGGTTTCATTGGGCTAACCTACAACTATTTCATTGTCAAGATCAATTACCTCATCATAATTGGTGGAACTTTTATCCATCAAGCACAATTCCTCATCAATGGCGTCATCCTCCTCAAAGTTTGGCATCGAAGCATAGGTTAGCTAATTTCTCTAATTCTGAATTATCATTGCCGGAGGTGGTTGAGCTTTCATCCTTCTCATCCAAGTAGTGGCCTTCGTGGCTTCCTTCTTGAGTTTCTTCCTCTAGTCATACTTCAAATTCATTTTGTCAATAGGGTAACTATTCTTCACATGACCCGACTTCTTTCACTCGACAAATAATATCTTCTCTTTTGCTTAAATTACCCCTATTATATTTTTTTTGCCTTTAAAGCCCTTTCAATCCCATACTTCTTCAAAACCTTGGTGAAACTTTTAGTGACAAAGGCTATGTGATCATTGTCATTAGTCATTACGACAACTTTTGCCATCCATCTCATTAGTTACAACTGACTTCAAAGCTATGCTTTTTTTTTCCTTGGCACGCTCTTCACTATTTTAAGGTCTTTGATTTTTTTTTCCTTCACGAGCAATGATCCATCTAATGAACTCATCAAAGTTATACATTTTGAGATTATTCTCCTCCTCTATTTTCCCGACCTTGGGCTCTCAAACTTTAGTAAGGTAGTGTCTTCAAGATTTTGCCGACCATCTCCTTATATTTTTTTATAAGACCAAGAAGTTCACTCAAAATAGTGATAAATCTTGTGTGCATTTCACGAATGCCTTCACCCCGATTCCATCTTAAAATGTTCATAGAATCTAGTAAGATTAATCACTTTGAGTCATTGACTTGAGTAGTTTTTTCATGTGTAATTTCAAGGAGTTTTTATATTTCATCGGCTAACTTACAATTTTTCACCTTAGTGAACTCAATATTGCTTAAAGCAAAAAAAAACAAAAAAAACAAAAAAAAAACATTTGTAGCTCAAATATTATAATCATGTCTTCTCTTTTGCCTATAAGTCCACTCAACAATCGGCTTAGGAGCCACGAGTACCATCTATCTCGGTCTTGGTAGGTATAACATTAAAATTTTCAACAATATCCTACAATTCCATGTCATATGACGAAAAAGAAAAAAAACGTCTTCATTTTAATTAAGCTGTTCAATAAGCATAATTTTCACATCAAAATATGGAGCTTTGGTTAAGAATTGACCCTCTAGTTCTATGATCTTAACTCTAGGTAATTAAGCTATAAAATAATATAACCCTTGGTCCACTACCTAGGGGTGTTCATTATTCGGTTAAAATCGAAATACCGAACCGAACCGAATCGAATCGAATTAACAATTTCGGTTTGGTTTTTTTTAAAATATAATAAAAAGCTGAAAAGCTGAAATTATTTCGGTTCGGTTCGATTTTTTAAAATCCATTCGGTTTCCATCGAAAATCGAATTCTAAGCAAAGTTAAATTTTAACTTACAAAAGTCAAAAGTAACAAAAGTAATGTTACAAAGAATCGAATACTAAAACCCTAACTCCCATCCATCTCCCACTCTCCCTAAGTTCTTACTCCTTGACTCCTTCCCGACTCTTGAGTTCTCGCTTCATTGCTTGGTTGGCTGGTTGCTACTTGCTCGCTTCCATCAAAGCTCAAACTTCATCCTTCTTTTTCGGACTTTCACGATTAGTGCTTCACGCCTTCACCGCTTCGGTGCTTCCGGACTTCCAGTTCCAGCCAACAAAACTCAAAAGGTGAATTTTTTTTTTGGTTAAATGCTAGACTTTTGATTAATTTCATTTTTTTCCTGAATCATTTATAAATTTATGTAATTAAAATGAAACCATTGGGTTGTTGATGGGTTTAATGCTTTGGGTCCTGTAACTTCTTTTATTGTTGAAGTTTCTATGATTCTGTCTCTTTTTCATTCGAAACCTAATATGACTATATGAGAAGTTAGTAATTGACTATATAGTAGTTGCTTTTAGGTTTTCATGAGTAAGGCTTGATTTTTTTCATTTGGGAATTGGGATTAGACGGTAGGGCGGCCACCGGCTCGCGGGCACAAGCCGGTAGGCGCAGGGCGGTAGGCCTATTGGCGGCCGCATGGCCAATAGGCCCACCGGCTGCGGGCACGGGGCGGTAGGCCTATTGGCTCACGTACGTAGTTAGCCGATTGACGATGGACACTACCCACTTGTTTTAACTTTTAAAATTTAAAATTTTAATATTATAAACTTGTATTTAATAATCATTTCTAATCAAATATATTCTTGAATTTGTGTAGATGTTAGGATCCTCGGATGCTGAAGTCGCGAGTTCAACTCATCCAAAACCGGGTCCAACAACGGATACGATTCTTGTTGGCTCTTCATCAAACACACAAGTGAGCACAAAGATGAAGAGAAAAGCAATGAGGCCAAGGTCATTTGTATGGGACCATTTCATAAAGTTTGAAGATGAAAATAAAGACATCGAGGGAGATGTAATTACTCGTGATAAGGTATTTGCTTGCTCATCCTACTAGAAATGGTACTACTACACTTAAATCTCATATGGCCATATGCAAAAAACACCCACATAGGCTTGACCTTACCCAATCGAATTGAACCTTCAATCTAATTCAAGTTTTTAAATGGGAGAAAACACTCTTAGCACATGGAAGTTTGATCAAACTTGCATTAGAAATGCTTTAGCTTACATGATTATTGTGGATGAACTTCCTTTCAAATTTGTCGAGAATGTAGGGTTTAAGTGGTTTATGTCAATTGCATAACCTAGGTTTAAAATTCCATCACGGGTTACCATTTCAAGAGATTGCTATCAACTTTATATGTATGAGAAATTAAAGTTGAACCAATTTTTGAAAAATAATTGTCAAAGAGTTTGTCTTACTACGGACACATGGACGTCTATTCAAAGAATTAATTATATGTGTCTAACGACTCATTTTATTGACAATGATTGGAAGTTGCATAAAAAGATTCTAAATTTTTGTCCGATTGATGGTCATAAGGGTATTGATTTGGGTAGTGCTATTGAAAAGTGTTTGATTGATTGAGGAATTGAAAAAGTTTTCACTATTACTGTAGACAATGCAAGTTCAAATGATGTGGCGATTAGATATTTGAGAGATGTTTTGAATAATTGGGGTAATAGCATCTTAGATGGGGAATTACTTCATATGAGGTGCATGGCTCATATTTTGAATCTTGTTGTTTCGATGGGTTAAAAAATGCAAATCCTTCGATCCTTCGTGTTTGAGCAGTTGTGAGGTATATTAGACAATCTCTCGCTAGGTTGAGAAAATTTAAGGAATGCATAGAGATTGAAAAGATTGATTCTAAAAGATTATTGCATCTAGATGTTTCAATTAGATGGAATTCAACTTATTTGATGTTAGATTCAGCTCAAAAGTTTGAGAGAGCATTTAAGAGATATGAGCAAATTGATCATTTATATAGTATTGAACTTAATGTGGATCTTGGTGATGAGGGATTTGGGCCACCTAGTGTCGAAGATTGGAGGACTTGTAGGAAAATGGTGACAATATTGAAAAATTTCTATGACCTTACTTTGTCTATTTCGGGTCATTCATATGTCACTTCTAATAATTATTTTGATGAAATTTGTACGGTTGAAGCTGATTTGAGAGAATGGCAAAAGTGTGCCGATGATGATATTTGTTCAATGGCTAGTAAAATAAGAGAAAAATTTGATAAGTATTGGGGGGATATGAAGAAAATGAATAAGTTGATTTATATTGGAGCTATGCTTGATCCAACACATAAACATACTTATGTTGCATTTACATTAAACGAATTGCATGGTGATTGCCTTGGAGAAAAGATGAAAAATGATGTGAAAGAATGTACATATGCCTTGTATGCTTCATATTGCAATTTATCACCAAATCAAGGTCTTAGTGGTCAAAGTAATGGGATTACGAAGTTTCAAGTGTAAGTGATGGAATGGTCCGAATGGACACCAATCATGCCATAAAGAAAAAAACAAGACACTTGCGAGGATGTCACGATTTTAAAAATTCAATGAAAGTGAAGATGGAGATAAAAGATCAGATTTGGATAAGTATCTTCATGAATCTGTTGAAATTAGAGATGAAAATTTTAATATTTTAGAGTGGTGGAAAAACAATTCTCTTCGATTTCCTATCCTTTCAAAGATAGCTCGTGATGTGTTGGTTGTTCCAATATCTACTGCTCCTTCGAGAATCAGCATTTAGCACTAGAGGAAGAGTTCTCGATGCCTTTAGGAGTTCTTTAACTCCTAGCATTGTGCAAGCTCTCGTATATGCTTAAGATTGGCTTCGAAATTCGATGCCAATTACTACCGAAGAAGATTTGCAAGTTGTTGAGAAACTTGAAGCCGGTAAGTTTTTCAATTCTTATATTTTTATTTGTCTTTTTTCCTTCCAAATTAATATTAAAGACCTAAAGTGTTGATTTTTTTTCAGATTTATTAAAACTATCAACGGATGCACCTATGATAGATATATGATGAATGGATGATGGTTTGATCTTTTGAGTGACATGGGTAAATTTCTAATGAATTATCTTTGTGTGTGTCCATGTATGTTTATAAATGCCTTTATATTTATAGAATTGATATTTTTTTTCTTTTCTTTGCAGAATTTGTCATTTAGTGAACCTTTTGCTTGAAGCCTTGAACTTGTCTATTTGTGGAATTGTGGTTGTGAGTTGTGACTTATTGGAGTTTTTTGAATTATTTTACTTGGCAAGTTATTAGTGACTTAGTTTTGTATTGTTGGCTTCTTATTGTTGCTTTCTTGTTGTTGGTTTGTTGCTTTTACTTTTATAAATTACTTATGTTACTTGGTAATTTGAGAATGTTGAATACTTAAATTATTGTTTTTAACTTTTTATTTTGTTGCATACTTGAAATTGAATTGTTGTTTGACATTTTTGCTTTTTCATTATTGAAGTGTAGAGAATAGTGTAGCATTGTAGTCTATTTAAAATTTGGATGGGGTCTATGTGTTATTATGGCTTGTCATTAAAAAAGTTGATCTTTGAATTAATGTTGAGATCATGAAATCGATGCAATTTTAATTAAGTTATCGATCCAATCAACATATGATATTGAGTATTAATTAAAGGTGA